ATTTTACGTGACCATCTTTTGTTGCTGAACTTTACAACTTGTGCCATTGTGCCATTAGTGTAACTTGTGCTGGTTGTTCAAGGCCTGAGAATCTGAGATGTTTAGGGTTCAAGTGAATTCTATGTTCAATAGATGAGCTTTTAAGCTCGAATGATAAGAGTTTGTGTCGTAGATATTCATCATCTCTACTGCATTTTCATACGAAGTACTTGTTTTTATCAATCTATCTTGAATAAACTGGTCTGTAAATAGATAAATATGCAAAGATCTTTCTGATAGGAAATTCAATTTCGTTTCACACAAGGATTTGAGTGTATTTGTATTCCTCTTACAGTCGGTCTAGAGAGTCTATTTTTTGACACTTGTTAAATAGATACTCTCAAATGTACTTTCTAACCTAAGTAAAATAAGTGAATCTTTAGAATAAGATAATGAATAGAAGTTTATAATGTGTAAAACTAGATTATTTCCGTACTTCTTATACAATGTGGAGGAATTACTTCTGAAGTACTCCCTCCGTCGGCAGAAATTTTTTCCCACTTACCATTTTGAGACGTTCCAAAAAATTCTTCCTGTTTCCCTCTTTGGAAAGGTTTGTGTGGCTGCCATTCATTTACCTTTTCTTACTCAATCACAATCATACATTTTTATTTTATTTCCACTTTCTTAAACTATGATCCAAGTCAAACTAGTCCTGGACTCGGGCCAGTGGCCCGACTCGGAACTGGCCCAGGATCGGTACTGTGCTGAACCGGCCTGGCCCGGTGGCCCGGCCAGTGACCGGTCCGGGTAGGCCCGGCCCGGGGGGTTCCCGGTGCGGGCTCGAGTCACCCAAAAGCCGAACCGGCTCGGTTCCGGGCTTTTTAATTTTTTTTCCCAATTTTTTTTAACTTTTCGGGTTGGGCTAGGTATTTTGGGCCATTTGGGGTGGTTTGGGGGTGGGGGTAATTAGGAAAAGGAAAAAAATTGACCCGAGGCCCGGCCCGGCCCAGCCCGGACCCGGCCCGGACCCGGCCCGGACCCGGCCCGGACCCGGACTTGACCCGACCCGGACCGGACCCGGTGGCTACCCGGTCCGGTCCCGGGCCCACCTATTTAGAACCGGCTGCCCTAATCCAGCCCTAAGTCAAACTGGGAAGAATTTTCCGGAACGGAGGGAGTATAATATAATATTCGACGCAATCTTTTAAATTTCATTAAATATTAGCATAAAATATTTAAAACATGAGAAAACTAAATAGCCTAAATGGTTAGAACTTAGAAGGTGAATGTGTAGGATGTTACTTCTAGTATAGTGGTATACCTAGTACTATTGTCACTCTAAAATAGGACAACTACAATAAAAGCATAAAATATGACGGTTTCAAACAAACAATAGGACAACTACAATAAAAGCATAAATTAGTACTATTCATTTGATGTTTTGCCCCAGCTACAATAAAAACATAATTTAGTATGATTCATTTGATGTTTTGCCCCCAGAGAACGAATGTGTATAGAGGTTGACATGCTACATTCATACCTTACCAGCTTACCTAGGGGTGCAAACGAGCCGAGCCGAGCCGAGCCCGATTTTCTACAGGCTCGAGCTCGAGCTCGAAATATATAGCATCGGCTCGAGCTCGGGCTCGGCTCGAACGAGCCTACAAAATCGCGGCTCGAACTCGACTCGCAGAAGGCTCGGTTCGACTCGGCTCGGCTCGAGGCTCGATAACCATTATGATGCTCCATAATGAGTCCGTAGTAAAAATTCACTGTCATCGGCTAATTCTAAGTTTTTCTACTGAGTAGTAACGACCTAAGCCTAAAATATTATAAAATTTTACTAATCAGCATATATTATATACTCCCTCCGTCCCCTTTTAAATGTCCCATTTTACCATATTGGGATGTCCCTATTTAATTGTCTCATACCTTATTTGGTAAAGTTTGTGTGGTTCAAAATTATTTTTACTTTATTCTTACTTTATCAATTAATATCAATCACACAAACCCACTTTTCTTAAAACTCGTGCCATACTCTTCCGAGACATTTAAAAGGGGACGGAGGGAGTATATCATATATATTACTCCGTACATTATAACAATATACATTATATATTAATTTATATTGCATAGTAATATATTATATATGATTATAATATATATATATATATTATAAATATTCACATATAAAATTAGGCTCGCGAGCCGGCTCGCGAGCCAGCGAGCCTGAAATTAGAAAGCTCGAGCTCGGGCTCGACTGCTTAACGAGCCGGCTCGAGCTCGGCTCGAGCTCGAATTTGACCGATCCCGATTCGAGCTTTGACCGAGCGGCTCGAGAGCGGCTCACGAGCGGCTCGGCTGATTTGCACCCCTAAGCTTACCTAGATAAACTAATTTTGATTCGATTTCTGTTTTTAACCAATTTAAAATAAAAAAATTTAAAAAGTAAAAATCGGAACAAGTACTTCGCTCTGTCAGTCTGTCATAGTTGGATACTTGGATAAATAACTGATTTTGATTCAGAACTAAAAAAGAACCATTGGACTAGTTATTTACTGGTCTGGTTCCGATTCTTTTCAAATTTAGAACCGAATTCATCCTCAATTGTAGGTAATACTAGAAAAGGCAAGATGAATTATGTAGACATCATCATAGAAATTTAGAATTAAATTAGAAGAAGAATTACTTTGATCTTCTTATTATCAAAATATCTATATTGCAAAGGAAATATTATCTTTTAAGTTCCTTAGAAGAATACATAAACTTTTGTGTATGTCATATACTCATACACTCATATGCATAATCAGCCATCGGTGCCCATTTTGGATGTAGAAATTGTGCCCGCATGTGTTTAAGCTCAATTAATCTTGTGATAATTTGGCATAATGGCCTAAGATGGAATGTTATTAGCGGCGGCGTGGTGATTTCATATAAATTGAATATTTGTGTCACTGAGTAGTTGTTAAGATTTGGGGCAAGTTACCCGCATGTGTAGCTCGATTGGTTGAGTGACGGGAAATTTGGAACAATCACCGATGTTCGAAACCCGCAGCGGTCATGTGGAGGTTACAGTTTATATGTGCTGGGTTGGACCTCTGTTGCGTACATGTATAAAGCCTACCACCATTGGGCCGACTGAGTCCATGACTTACTTCTTCACCATTCTGTCGGCTCGGGGTGTGGGGGCTCCTGCCTCCTGGGGTGGGAGATTCCACCTTTTGGAACAATAAAGATTTCGGGCCAGTTGAATTACAATGATTAATGCAAACAACTCTATCCGTTAAAGCGGAGGCGCCGTAATGGTCGATTTCACCCTTTGGTAGAAGCAACAAGAAATTGTGAGGTTGTTTGGAAACACCGAAATTGATTGTCAGATGAAATGACTTAATTGACTGAATTGGTTGAATCTAATGAGTTATAAAAATTATATCTAAAAAATATTTTGCATGTTAATAAAATAAACAAAAATAGTCTTCTTTACTGAATCCAGTAAAAAAGTTATTAGAATATTATTATTGAAACGCTATTTAGCATGTCAAAAAAGTACTTGTTAAATTGAAGCACTATTTAGCATGTCAAAAAAGAACTTTTTAAATAAAAAATGACTGATTAAATTGACAAGATGAACATATAAGTTTGATAATATTGGGCTTCTCCTTAATTAAGAAGTTAACGAGACTTCTGAAATATTGACAAAAATGTCTAAAATTTTATAGATGTGCGCGTAGAGAAACATATGTCAGTAGTCTCAATTACGGAGTATTATTTTTCTAAGAAATCTATGAAAAATAAAAGATATATTATTATTATTATTATAATGATAAGTTTGATTATATTGAGCTCTTCGTTAATTGAGGAAATAATTACATAAATATGACCAAAATAAAGATGTTTTACAAAAATATGACTATTTACTAGAGTAGTAATGAAATCATAGTAATTCATATTCAAGTTTTGAACTTAAGTTACTACAACATTACTATAATGTGATTGAGACGTTCACGAGAATTATGAAATATTGTAATAATGTCTATAATTTTTATTAACAGTCTCTTTTATGAGGAAGCGGCCCAGTCCAGCTGGTCGTCGACTCACTGTCCTTTATGGGAGGTCTCGTGCGAAACTCACCCTTCCCCCAGACGCCCCAGAGTAAAAAATACAAGCAATTTTTTTTAAAGATTTTCTTTATGATACGAGAAAATGCCATCGACGATTAGCTACATATCTAGGCCTGTCAATGGGTCGGGTCTGGACCCGGACCCGATCCAAATCCGGCATTTTATTTGAGGGCATGAGTCTAAATTTAGAACCGTTTTCCGGATCCGGATCCGAACCCGTTAAATGATAGAAAAAATGGGTCGGATATGGTTTTTAAGTTCCGGCCCGTTTTGGCCCCGACCCGTGATGATATAATTATAGTTATATGTTTTTACATATACGCACACAATATACATAGAAATATTTAAACATAAAATAAGGAAAATATCAATATAAAAATGTTTTAATATTTGTAGGCTTAGTTAGTGGTTGGCCCACTATAATGAGATTTTCGCTGATGAGTTATTGTTCTAGGTTTTCCTTTTTTGAATGTCCCATTAACTTTGCCACTTTCCCATTTAAGCAAAGAATTTGTGGTTCTAGTTAATCCCCTCTCCTCTGCACAAATCTCAATCACACGGTTTTTACTTTATTAATCTCCATGTCGGTCAAACTTGATAAAGTTATTAGGGACGAAGGGAGTATAACATACTTCGTACATTATTGTATAGTCATAAGGAGTAATGTATAGAACAACATTTTGTTTATTTATATATGATCTCTTTCAACATGAACAAATTTTTGTTATATACTCCGTATTATATTTTTTTGCATATGTCATTTAGTTATTTTTGCGGGTAGACCCAGCCCAAATTCGAGAACCATCAGATCTAAATCTGGAACATATATTTAGGAGCCGAAGGTAAATGTGTCCGGATATATTTAGGACCAAAATAATTTATATTTTGGACATGGATATGGAATTTGTAGTTCCTCCCATATCCATCGCTTTGAAAATGCCCGTATTTTATCCGCCTGGAACTCTGGAAGTATGGACGAGACGGCATCGACGAGCAGAAAACGCCAACGCGATCCTGAATCCGGAAGCTCCGATGGTTCTCTTCTTCTTGGTTTGTACTCGTGTCTTTATCTTTCGGCCTCTTTGATTCTTCTCATCCTTAACCAGTTGTTTCTCATTATTTCGATTTCTGATATACAGAGGATAGTTTGGCATTAACCGATACTTTTGTGGCTGTTCGCATGATGTCTGCTCAGTTCCCGTATATCGAAAAGGTCGTTAGTGTTTTTTTCTCTTTGTAGTTTAAATAGTTTAATGTGCTGTTTCTACATTAAGAGACAGAATTGCAGATTTATGCTTTTCTCGTCTTTATCCTCATTTTCTAAGTAGGATGATGATTTGGATTTACTCACTAGATTAAAATTTGAATTTTGTTTCGATTAATGATTTGAGTTTTTTTGTCTTTAAAATATGTTGTTTTGCTTCCAGGTTTCCGTTCGGCCTTTTGTATTGCAATCACAATTGTATTGCAGTATAAAAGACAGGACACAAGTAGATAGGGAATTGGAGGTACAGTCACTACCACTTAGCTCTTCAAATGCAGTGGAGAAGTTGTTGAGCACCAAAGTCCATAACTTTAGCCTAATATGCTCTATTTCAACTTTCAAGTTATGCTATTTATGGATTTGTGGTGGGGTTGTAAATGAGTTGAGCTTGAACAATCTTGAGCTAGACTCATGGGAGTGGCTTGACCTTAGTTCACTCATCTTATTATTCATATGGTGGTAGTTAGCAAAATCTCATTTTATTGAGCTCGGCTCAACTCATTTGATCAATCTAGCTTTGAAACCCTTTTGTATCTCTCTGCTATTTGGCTCAACTCATTTACTGCGGGAGTGACTTTTTTAGCTATATCTTCTAGAGCAGTCTCTGAAGAGGGAGAAAATGGTACGCATTTTTAAGCTGTATACTGGGCGAGATGATCGTGCTATTATGCTCTTAGAGGAATACTTAAGTCAGGTCAGGGGATGACTTCTTACTTCTTAGTTATTGGTTATTTTGAAATTTGAACTTACCATTCATAATTTCATTGAAAAGTGTATGAACAACCATCTTGGCATGTTGACCTTGTTTGAGCATTGTTCTCTGTGGCATTCCATGGAGACAATTTTCATGTACAGAATAGTAGTTACACTGTCCTTTGTTACCTTCATATTAAATAAAAATATTGCTATTTCTTTTTAGATTGAGCATGTCGTTAAGATAATGGAAGAAAAGAAGAAGGAAAAACTTCCTGTTTTTGAATGGTTCAAAGCACACATCATTTCTTCAAAGCTGGATCCTTGTATTGGGCATCATGAACTTGTAAGTTATATTGTTGCTGCTGACAATTTAATTAAGTATGCATATAATGCCAATGTATATATGTGGGAACACATCAAACTATCATATGTGGCTCCATTGTATGTGGTTGTGTAATATGTTCTCGAGTTTCTGATATTTTTTAAACTCTATAACTAGCTGTGAAAAGTTTTTTTTGGTTGATTGATATAATATGATGGTTACATGTGTGGGCTTAAAGGTGCTCCTTATTAATGAATATTCTATGGTAACCTATCCAAATATATACTCCGATTCCTAATTTGCTTTGATTACAATCAACTAACATTCCGTTGGTGACTTGGTTTCTTTTATAAGGTACCTTCCTAATTGATATAAAGTCATGAATTATCTTAGAAAAACTTTGTGTTCTTTGGGCCGATGTTAATGCAGTGTGCCATTAATTATGCCCCTTTCCTCGTTCAACCATGTTGTTCAAGGTTTTTATTTTATCATTTAATTTATTTATTACCTTGATGCTTCAGTTTATTCTTCTTCAAATTAAAATTCAGAGGAAAGAGAGAGGATAATCATCAGTCTCAAAAAATAAATTTCTTAGATTCTAGAATATCTGAGTATGTTATAATATCCTTTTGATATGCATGCCATATCTTTTGTTATTGATATGAAGTTATGAACATTGCAAACCTCCTATTTGTTGATAAGTTGGCTTCCTTGTAGTGTTCTCTTCTCTCACTGGGAGGCAAAGTCAAAGAGGAACATGTCTCTCTCTTGATTAATGCAGGCCTTCTTGTAAGTAATGGGAATGATATATTCATTTGAAGTGAAGCTCTTTTCATTAAATTCCGTTCAGCTGTCTTTATTATACTCATCAGAACACACATTCTTGATCCCAAAACCGTGGGGTCTTCTTCATAAATTCATAGTCTGTCTGTATTGTGCATGCTTCATAGTGTTTGAAGAATGAAGACTAATGTCCTCTCTGATTCTGCTAATTTCTAAGACTCGCCAACCTATCGATCCAAACATGTACTGGTTTGCAATTCCAAGTGTTGGACCAGTGCTCAAGGGTCTTTCACAGGTTTGATTTCATGACTTATTCATTTTTAATAGTTTTACTCTATTAGCCCGTTTGTAACTCCTATATTTAGCCTATCAGCCAACTTTTTTACCCAACTCGTTAATTTTGATTTTGCATGCTGAATTGCACAGTAATAAAATTAAGTAACATTCGACTTACTTTTCTGGATGAATTGGTTGACGTTACTCTAAAGTACCATTTAGCTAATTTTTCATCTAATAATTTCTTTACATTATTAATGAAATATATTTTGAATACTCTCTGCATTTTATAGATTGCTACATTAGGTTTGACAAATTATTTAAGTAGGAAAGTGGTAGGAGAAATGAATAGTGTAGAAAAAGTAGGAAAGATGGTGTCAAAATATGAAAAAGAAGATAAAAAGTAGAAAAGTAAGGGTAATTAAGTATTTTTAAAGGGAAAACTTACCAAAAGGGGAATTGTAGCAAACTTTTAAATACCTCCCCAAAGAGAAAGTGTAGTAAACTTTAAAATACGCAAGGAGTGTATAATTTTTTCAGAATTCACGAGAATCAGCCAATTCCACCGTTTCATCCATAGTTTCATCAATTCAGTAGATTCATCCGATACAACCTATTTCAGTGTTAGCAAATGGTTAATAACATTTTGCAATTGATCTTATATCTGAGACAACCTTGATTCCAACATAATCTCTATGAACTGACTTTACGGTTAATATCAGGGAAGAAATGAGCTTTTATCTTTACTCAACCGCCGAAAATTCAAAGAGATGATGATGGCCACCTTGGAAAAGAAGCGCCTTCGATTTTCTCTCTTAGATATGAGATTTCATCTCCGTGATTTGATAGGATCTGGTCATCTCACAACTGTTGAGACCCCTAGTGGCTTAATTGTGAGAGTCACTAAAGATTGAAATTCCGGTAAGAGAATCTTGTTTCACATGTAATTCTTGCAAAGTTGAACACAATTTTACTTATAAGCTCACAATTTCCCCCCTCTTATTTCAAGATTAGTGGACCTAATTGAAAAGATGCTGTATTCATATTTTTCAACTTCACATTTTTTTCTTCTGGTTTCAAGATCAGTGGACTTAATTGAAAAGATGCTTTCTATGCATTCAGTGTGTTTTCCTTAATTATTATGTAATGGCATGTGTTTTAGTTCCACCGTGAGTATCTTTATTCGCGTGTGGTAGTGAGCTGGCAACTTTTAGTGATAGATATGGGCATCAATTAGGTTATAGCATAGGTTTCAGTATGAAGCAAGGGATCTTTAGAAAGGGATATTGAATAAAATTATGTGTAAGGGGAATATGCCCACTTTAACCTCAGGTGTCTTGATTGATCTGAGTAGGGCTGATTCGGTATGGCATACCGAAAAATTTACGCCATACCGTATACCGTACCGAAATACCGGTATGTGAAAAATGCATACCGTTACCATACCGAAACTTCGGTATACCGAAGTTTCGGTATACCGAAATTTCGGTAACCCATATTTGCATGCCGATGCCGTACCGAATATACGGTATACCGAAATCAAAGCACGGTATCGGTATACCGAAAATCTAATTACATGTTACAATAGAATCTCGTGTAATTTCTAAAATTATTAACAAAAACCCTCTAGTAAATACTAATATTAACTTGTGTATAACTACTGATTACATTACACTACTGACTAGCTGAATGCTCAATTTTTAAACAACAAATACGACAGTCTTCCATATACAAGAATCAAGGCTTTGCAAATTTAAAATGTTATGGATAAAAGAACATTATTTTCATCAACAAAAAATCAATTCAAATATATATTTAAAAACAGTTCTAGCGTAAAATTCATTAAAGCAACACAGATGAAGCAGCCCAAAACTTGAACTCTGAGCTCAGAGTACTCGTTGTTGTTTGATCATTCCAAGAGCTCTGAAAAGAGAAAGAAAAAGGGTGGACAAACAATTCATGGAGAATGAATAGTCTTTAGTTTATGAGATGGTAAACAACTGCATGTAATCTATATATTGTTCAACATAGCAGAGTCAAGCATTATCATAGATAGAGAAAGATAACTTCATTTCACGTAACTAAATGATGTTCAGCCATAGTAATTAACTTCATAATAATAACTAAAACTCTATTCGTTTTGTTTATCACTTTAGTTTTTTAGTTTGATGTATCATAAATTCATGACCGTTAATGAACTAAAAACGATGAGACAAATATTAGGAAAAAAACACCAGATGAGGTCGATTGGAGGTGACTTGTGAATTAAATATAGACAGAATTAAGTTATCTACCATTATAACAACCACGACAAAAATGTGACCGCATTGAGGAAACAATAGATTAGGAGTTGATTATTTTCGACTTAATTATTATCTAACTTTTTTATTAAATACGCAATTTTTGATTTTCCGTGCTAAATTGATTAACGATCAAAATAGTTAAAGTTAGTGTTGATTTTAATCCAACATGATAATAGTAAATATAGATATAATTTGATGTGACTCTCGATCTTTACGTGAAAACCCGAAAGGGAGAAAACCACGGGACTTGGCTACTTCCAAACTCTCTCTTTCTCATTAATCCTCTCCTCACCAATTACATAGTACATATGTTGAAGCTCCATTAGTGGAGGTTGTCCTACACGAAGCTCTGAAAGAAGAAGCAGTAGAGGGGAGAAGAAGAACTCCCAAGGAGAGAGGAACCAAAGATCCCTTCAATAGGAAGCTTGGCATCCTATTTATAGATGGGGGAGGGGGTGTAAGGGTTATTCTTCATGGGCCAATGGGCCGGGTAGGCTGGAATGGGCCGGGTAGACCTAAATGGGCCCCGCCGACTGGGCTCCATTCCGGAGTGCTGTCTTGAGCCTCTGAACAGTAGTTGGCCGGGGTAAATCGGTAATATACCCCAACACACTTGAAACGAGGTAATCTATAGCCATTAAGATAACAAATATGACCTGATCACAAGTCCTTGAACTAGATTTAGAGTTTATTCCCTTAATAAGCGTAATATAAATCAACTCTCGAATCCCAACATGAGCAAATGTAAGCCAAACATGACCGATCTAGACTCCTTGTCACATACCGTGTTATGAACTTGGCACCTAATTCTAGAAAAGGAAATGCCCAACCATTGTCTGACTCGATAGTAGCAACAAAATAATGGTACACTAGGTAGGCTAGGGCTAGTATACAACCCACCAAAAATGCAAAAAATTAACGTGGTGTACTTTTCAAAAGGAAAGTGGCAAAGTTTTTGCTCACTTTTGAAAGGGAAAAATAAGCCTCTCAAATACCTAGGCAGGCTCGGTATCTAGAATCCGCCTCCTTCCCATTTTTGACATGTCTGACACCATATTTGCTCATCTTGCCTACTTATCTCACATTCGCAACTTCTTTTGATTCCCTTCATGTCAGTGGCGGAGCAAGACATTTAGAGTTAAAGGGGCCGGTCCTTAACAATTTTACATTGCAGGGGCCAAAGTTTAAAATATCAACATACTTTTTACAGATTCAAAGTATTTATACATAATACATACTTAAGAAATTTTTTTCTTGCAGGGGACGTGGCCACCTCCAGCCCCTCCCTGTCGCCACCCCTACTTCATGTCCAATTGTCTGCGTTCTTCCATGACCCCAGAAGTTCCCCCATTCTTTGCCACTACAATCAACATCCAACCCTGCACTCTCATCCAGCTCATCAGTTTGATTCCCAGGTCTTTAACTTGTCCCTTCCTGCACAACCCACTTACTTATTGCCCCCATTAGGCTGGGTTTGCCTATGCCACTTCCTGCGGGCTTTTGACCATGGACCATACAATCTAATAATCTCTTTCTCCCTTGCTCAAACTCCAATGGACAAAATTATCTACATTTCCATTGATTCCACAAGTAAATTAAAAACTAGGGAGTTTCTCAAATTTAAATCAACCACGAACCACTCTTCATCCTCCTTTCGTAATTTCGTTCTTCTCTTCAAAGGTTTAGCGATATGTAGATACATATTAATTCTCATATAAGCCCTCCCAAAAAGTTCAAACTAATTCTTATCAATTATGACAAACTCTCCTAGGCAATTTCCAATTTGTTGCGCTGCTTTTATTGCCAAAAATCCACTAACAAATTAAATTGTGAATTTGTACCTATAAATCTGCAAAAGTTAATGGTACATTGGTACCTTAAGTGACATATCATTAGACTATAGAGCATGTAAAACTAATACGTAGATATTTCTCAAATAGTCAACAACTAGCCATTTTTGAGAACAAGTTTCATATCAATTGCATTGTCAAAGGTGGAACGGTACCTACTATTTCGAATTTTTGATTGATACACCTTTACACGGGTGCAAAATCACCATGATGTCCCTAAAATTGGAAACCTCACTAGTCACTACATTTCCATTAGCCAAAACCAACAAAGAGCCCCTAAAGGCCTAAAGTATTTAGGTAGTGTTTGCAATATCTTGTGCTTAAAAAAATCACTTTTTTTTTTTATTTAACTTTTAAGCAGAAGTTGTCACTTGAAAACACTCTTTTTAACTTTTTCAAGCCAAAAATCGAGAAGCGCCTTTTTAAGCATTTGCAAACAGTGCCTTGATTATTAATTACATGTAGTTTTATTCATTCAAATATTCTGCACGGGTAGCTCCGTTGGTTGAGTGGTGAGGAAATCGGAACATTGACCACATATCAAAACCTGTAACGATCGTGTGGAGGTTACAATTCCTGCGTGTTGGGTGGATCTCTGATGCGCACAATTACAAGATCTATCACCATTTGGGTGATTGAGTCACCATGATTTAGTGATTTACATTCTCCCAAATGTCTTATCGTGTCGAGGTGTGGGGGCCCTTGGGGTTGAGGATTCAACTTTTGGAACATATTCATACAAATATTCAATTATTATATTACCTTCGTCTCATTGAACTTTGTCAATTTTATGTCGGGTGCAGGGGCGGAGCTAGAGGGGTGGCCAACCGGGCCACGGCCCGCCCCAAATTTAAAAATTCTTTGTATTTTTAGTCTAAAAAATTATGTGAAAAAATATTATCTGAAAAATTCTTTGTACTGGCCCAACTCAACCTTCAATCCTAGCTACGCCCCTGGTCGGGTGTAATATAAAAAAGTAAAAACTAAGAGTTTGAGTTTTGTGTAAATAGTAGATACTTAAGCAGAATTACAAATTCATTACATTCAAGAGGAAAGTGACAAAGCTTTTGAGACAAAGAAAAAAAAGTTTAGCTCGGCTACCCTAAACACCTTCACCGGAATCTTTAAAAACAAACACCAACATTGACCTTCAAAGAAATACTAGTAATAAGATAATATAGATTTCAGAGAACCGGCCGGTGATGAAAATTTAAGAAACATATGACGCGCGCAGCCGGAGTGAGAGGAGGCTTGCTGGCGGCTGGTGGTGGTGCCGTCATCGTTGTTGACAACAGTTTAAAAGTAGAATAGGAAGCCACCCGGCCTGAATGATTAGTTAAGTTATTCAATTAATTTAAATTAAAAGTTAAAAGTGAGAGGATCGGAGCCTTGTGGGAAAAAAGACAATCTTTCTTTTGATTGTTGCGTCGTTTCGTGCAACGCACACAAGATTACAAGAATGACTAGGATTTCAAAGGTTGGCTAAATATATGGATAGATTATTAGTTAGGATAGATTATCAAGATGTTTTTACTTGGACTGTAATCCATTTCAGACCAGAGCATACCAGACCAGATCAGACCAGATCAGACATGGACAATTATAAACATACAAAGAGACCACATATTACTGGACCAGACCATACCATACCAGATCAGACTTGACCAGCAAATTATAGTCCAAGTAAAAACATCCTTATTACACCATTCTTCCGCTAGCTAGCTCGCGCGATCAAGCAAAACCATCCCTCTTTGGCTCTTCTTCACTTTTTTGATAATGACTATCTTTCCGTTCCAAATTGGATCACAAAATTGATTTTCTAGGTCAAATAAACTCATTTTATTCACTTAATTGGGCTATCAATTCTTGATTAAATTTTAATTTGGATTTTGTAGTTTTTTTGGATATTTTAATGTAGTTTATGAATAGCTGCAAAAGTGAACGCCTTGTGTGTTAGGGCTTTGGAGTCACGCAAAGTCCTCAGCGTCTAGATTTTGTTTAGCTTTTTTAGCGAGAGAGCATCATATCGAGAAGATGAAG